ATTTGTTCAAGAGTTTGATTGAATTATAGTGTGTCATTGTTTATTTTCTGTCTAGTTGATCTATCTACTTGTGACAGTAGGGTATTGACGTCCCCCACTACTACTGTGTTAGTGTTTATATGATTTTTCATGTCCATTAGCACTTGTTTTACATAGTTGGGCACACTAGTGTTTGGTGCATATATATTTATTACTGTCATCACTTCCTCCTGGATTGTTCCCTTTACAAAGATGTAGTGTTCTTCTTTGTCTCTCTTAATCAGTTTGAAATCCACTTGATCTGCAAAGAGGTGAGCTACTCCTGCTTTTTTTCAGGTTCCTGTCAGTCACACAGAGTACAGTTTTCCACCCTTTTTTCAGTCACGAGTTTCTTTTTGAATTGTGTGTTTCTTGTATACCACATATTGTTGGATCTTGCTTTTTGACCCATTCTGCCAGTGACCACTAACATTGATAGTTATAACTGATATGTATTGACTTATCCTTGTCATGACTTTTTCTTTGTGCTGGGTTCTCCCCCTTTGCATTTAATTTCTTGTCATACCTGGGATTCATTCTGCTGGGCTTCCTGGGGTTTTAATCCTCATAGTCTTTTCCTAGGATATTGCTTAAAGTTCTTTGGAGTGCTGTTTTGATATTCATGAAGTTCCTAAGGTACTCTTTGTCATGAAAGTATCTTATTTCTCCATCAATTTTGAAAGATAGTTTTGCAGGGTACATCAATCTGGGTTAGCAGTTGTTTTCTCTTAGGGCTTGAAATACATACCACCAAGCACTTCTTGCCTTGAGAGTTTATACTGAGAAGTCTGCTGTGATTCTGATGGGCTTTCCTTTGTACGTAATTTGTTTCTTTTCTCTAACTGCATGTATAATTTTGTTCTTCTCTTGGGTTTCTGGAATCTTAACTATTATATGCCTATGTGTAGAGGTTTTTATCATTGCTAAAAACTCCAGTTTTATATGCCTCACTTATCTGCATGTCAAGTTATTTCCCTCTACTTGGGAAGTTTTCTTCCATTACTTCTGTGAACAGTTTATTTAATGTCTGCACTTTCTCCTGTTTCTTCATTGACTCTGATCAGTCTTATATCATTCTTCTTTGCAGCATCTAGCAGCTGTTGGATTGATTTCCCTTACTATTTATAAGGAATTTTTCTTTTCCTAGTCACTAATTGTGTTCTTATCTTCTATATCTGAAATTGTATCCTTGCATTGGCTTGTTCTTCTGTGTAAACTTTCAATGGAGTTTTTAATCTCCTGGAGATCTTTTTGCATCTGTTTATTTGTTTCTTATTTTGGGATTCCATCATGTTCCTCAGATCCTCTATTTTTAAAATCTGTGTCCTCTCTAGATTTATTAGTCATGTCTTGTACTATGGATGCAATCTCTGCTGAGAAATTATTTTTGATCTCATCTTTTCCAGATCCTGTTTTGTTGCCAGTTCAGGGAGTCCAGGTGGTTGAGTATCAGACTATTCCATCTCGTTTCTCTTTGGGGTTGCCTTAGATGACCTGGAAGTCTGGCTTTTGAACTTGTTTTCATTTCTTCTCATCTCAAAAGATGCATCCTGCAATTTCTATGTTGAGGCAACTTTTTGCTCACCCAGTGGTCTTCAATTCTCAGCAAGCCACCAAGAGGCTTTTTCTTTGCTGCTCACCAGTACACCAATTCCCGGGTGCAGAATGGTGGCCTTCTGTATCCCTGAGCTGACCTATTGTCTGGGGGAGCCTGGGGCCGGAGCACACTTGGGATGGTATCTAGGGGTCCTCATGTTGAGGCTGCTATGTAGCTGTGGTCTCAGAATGCCTTTGGCTGGGGGCTGTGCTCCCTCCCTAGTTCCTGCTGTCTGAGCAGGCTTCTAGCTAGGGTCTCTGCCAGAGAAAGTATAGGGGCAAGCCACTGAATGAAGCTTGTGCATCTATGTATCTCTTTTCAAGCTGGGCCCTTTATTGGGTGAGTGTGCCTGATCTTCTGGGGTCAGGTGGATCCCTGGCTGGGATCTGCCTGCAGCTGCACTGTTCTGGAGCACACCCCTGCTCCCCGTGGGATCTGTGCACACTCACTAATGCTACAGGGAGGGCTTCTGACTGAGGCTTCTGGGCCTGTGCCATTCTTTCCTGGGTGGGCCTTTGGCTGGGCAGATCCCTGGCTGTGATTTGCCTGCAGTCCTGCTGGTCTGGACCACACTGCTGCTCCCTGGGATCTTTCTTTCCATTTTTTTTTTATAAGTTTGGCTAAAGTTTGTTGATTTTGTTTATTCTTTTGAACAATCAACTCTTTGCTTTATTGATTTAATTGTATCATTCACTTACTCTCCATTGCATTGATTTTTGCTCAGATATTTATAATTTCCTCTCTTGTATGAACTTTGGGCGTGCTGCTCTTCTTTTTCTAGAAGCTTGAGGTTCAGCATCAGGTTGCTTAATTGAGCTTGTTCTGTTTATGCCGAGGTGTAGATATTTTGATCATGGCTAGTTGAAGTTCTATATGCATCACTTGTCAGTATGTCAAATTCTCTTCCCCTGCTTGAGAAGTCTGCCATTTCTTCTCTGGACAGTTTTTTTTATTTTATTTTTAATGTCATCTGTACCTTCTCCTATTTTTTTAATTTGCTCTGATTAGTCTTTGTTTTTTCTTCTTTGCATCACCTAGCAGCTGCTGGATAGATTTCTCATGGTCCCTTACTATTTTTAAGAAATTTTTCTTGGTCACTCATTACAATCCTATCTTCTATATCTGAAATTCTATCTTTGCATTGGCTCATTCTGCTGCATAAATGTTCAATGGCCAGTTCAGGGAGTCCAGGTAGTTGAGTATCAGCTAGTTCTATCTTGTTTCCCTTTGGATTTGCCTTAGGTGATCTGGAAGTCTGGTTTTGAAACTTATTTCCATGTCTTCTCATCTCAACAGATGCAGGCTGCTGCACCTTTGTTAAGGGACTTTTTGCTTTCTCAGTGGTCTTCAATTCTCAGCTATCCACTGAGAGGCCTTGTATCTGTTGCTCACCACTGAGATAACTCCAGGCTTATCTGGGCAGGCCTCTTCCTGTTGCTTGCCCACTTGTGTAGCTCTTGTCCAGTCGAAACTTTGACTGCGGCTTTGTGTCCAAGCTGCTGGTGTCTGGGAGTGGCCATTGCTTGTACCTGCCCACCCCTGCTCAGCTCTGGTCTATGCAGGCTTCTCACTGGGATCTCTGCACACTTACCCATGTAATCTGGGTGGGCTTCTGTCTCCCTTACAGCATTCTTAAAGCAAAAAGAATTTACATGAATGTTTCAAGTTTCTTTTCAGTAATAAGTGGTAATTAATCAAGTAATGGAAAGCTATGCAATGCTTTCTCCTGTCTTCTTCCCACCTTCCTCAATTTGCACTGGTATTTGAACTACTCATAGAGCCAAAATGTTGTCCATGTGGTAGGCTTCTCATGCCCAGGGGTCACTGTCACTCCTCTGGTGACAGCTGAGCATAATGTCTGCATTAGCAGTGACCCAGTGACCCAGCTGCAGTGTCTCACTAGTACAGCTGCACTGAAGATACTTGGAAGTCAGTTTCATTTTATTACTACATGGTTCTCAGCCTTGAATGTCTTTAGTATTAAATATTCTAATTACCCACTGGTTCTGGGAAAAATGTTCCATTGTAGTGTAATAAAACAAATCAGCTTTGTCAATTTATTAATTTAAGGAATATTCGTAGTTGCTGACTTATATAGTAGACAAAAATATTTAAAAATACAAATGAATTGAAAGATACACTATGAACATTTAGTTATGTAAAAAAGGTTAACATGTTTTAAGGTATTTTTGATGCTTATGGTATATATTCATAAATTACAAGTATAAAATTTTTCTCTTGAAAAATAAATTACCCACAGATAACTGTAATTAATAATATTTATTTCTAAATCCCATAATCAATGCATTTTCAGCATTTTGAGACTTCCTAACTTCTTTTTTCTATCATTTTAGCACTGTGAAGTATTTAACATTTATAATAACACTCTGTCAATATGATCAGATGAATTAGTCCCTACCCTCCCAATACAGACACTCATATCTTTCTCACAGGCTGTCCTTTGCCTCCCCTCCTGCAGGCTACCTCTGTACTTTGTAAATGTTTCTTCCTGGGGCACTTATCACACCACCATAAGTTGTTTTACTTGTTTACATATTGTGTTTTCACTGTGGTTTCCCCTTGTCTTAATCCATATATAACTTGCAGGTGAAAACTCGGGTTCATCATCAAATTGTATACCTATTAGTCCCTCATACAATGATTTCATCTATAATGACTCTGTCTCTTCTACAAGATAATACTTGAGGGCAGCTATCTTGTAAAGGAACATTTGCTTTGTTCTTGTTATACTTGTACCCAGTACCTAGCAGAATCCTAATTGCTAAATATATGAAATTTGTCACATATTAGAGATGACATATATCAAGTAGCTTTGTATCTCTGAACTTTAAGAAACAAGTGTAATGAATTAGCTGTGGGCTTTGGTGAAATACAGATTGAGTTTTGATTCTTGGCTCTTTGTAACAACCATACTATATTGGGCAAGTTATTTAATCATTCTGATATTATATTTCATCTGAAAACATGTACTTCATAATGTCTTTCTAATGTATCTTCATATGGCTACTATATTATAGTAGATAATACATAGTGACTATTTTAATTCATAATCAGACCATTACCTAGTGTAAACAGAAATCTCATTATGGTATATATTCTTTTCGGTCTCAATCAAGGAGTCACTTTTATTCATGACCTTTGATATATATGTGTGTTTGTGTGTGTGTATGTGTGTATTCCAGTATCATTGCCACAACCTCTTTCCACAGTGCTTGTGCTATGTAATCAACTGTATTAGAAAGATTCACATGGCTTTATCAATATCTATTGAGCATAGTACATATCAGTTGGTATTATTATGCAAACTGTATTTAGATTTGAAGTGCAATCAATTTAATTATTGGGTCATTTATTTATCTCACAGAAAATAGGACTAACTATTATCGAGGAAGCTTTGAAGTGCTAGATCTTCCATACAACAGAAATTATGAAAGGGAGACATCGCAAGAAAATAACTACCTTAGTAAAATCCTGGAAAGTAAAGTAAGTTAGCATTTTCCTGTTCAATTGTGAATTATTTAAAATAGAAAAATAGAAAAATTTGATATTTGACTCTATGTTTTCTTTTAACAGATGGTCGATGCATTTCAAAGTTCTGATATTTACAGACAATATATCAATTCCCAAGTTATCACACTGGTGTAAGTGACTAACACACATCAGAAGAAGATGCCAAACCACCAGACATACCATTAGAAGTCAAGTTTCTTTGCTAAAATGTCTATAGAAAGCTTAGAGTCACTATACAATAAGTTACTAATATCCAAAACTATCATGAATGTCATAAATGTGATAAATGTTTGGTATAAAACCAAAGCAGAAATTAGGACTATATTGTTGAATTCAATACATCTACTGAGAATGTATTGATCTTCAAATTACAAATTATTTATCCTTTTAATTTCCTAATTATTTATGTGCAGTAAATCTTAGTCTCATAGACAAATATTTGATACTCTAGTACTTTTGTTTCTCCCTATCATAAATATGGACCCTATCTCCCCTGCTTCTTTCTATTTGCAAGTTAGTTAAACTTCTAGTGGAATCTGTCCCTAATGTTCTTCTTAGATACAGTATAGAAGACAGCATATCAATACTCAAGCTTTGGTACCAAGGATCACCTTCCATTCACCATAAATAAGTCTAGTCTCCAACCTTGGAGAGAGGATTACAAGAAGTAAAATAACTATGCTGTGTTCCCTTCACATGGGTTTGGAAGAATTAAGAATAGCAGATGAATCCCTTCAAATAAAATTGGATAATATAAACTCAGCTTTAGCCATTTAGTAGTCCTAAAGCTTTGGGTAAATCACAGTATGACTTTGATTGTTGTTCTTCTATACTATGACATATAATGATAACTTTTGCCATGCATTATTCATAGAACCATATTCAGAATGAAAGAGCAGATGTGCATGGAAATGTTTGCAAATCAACTCATTTGCATGAAGGCAGTTACTGGCTTTACTGTCCTCCATGCCACCAATGCCTGCACTTCTTCCTCTCTTCCTGGACTTGTGAAATTTGCAGAATGGAGTATGGTTCCAATTATAATTAATCTTAGGAATCAATTTAGTGTTGGACAGAAATGGAAAACTAAAATTAAATTTTCTAGGCATCTCTCAGAGAAAGCTTCTCTGCTTAGTTTTTTTTTTTTTTTTTTTTTTTGTATCAGGGATTGAACTTGGGTCCTTGCACTTGCAAGGTAGGCCACCAAACCACTGAGCTAACTCCCTGGCCCCATCTGCTTTGTTTCTCACTCATGTAACTTTAGATCTCCTTAGGTAGTATAGGTTGGGCATGGGTGCAGAGAGGTCATAAGACAGAGTTTTTCACTCTGGCACTCACTGGACAAAAATGAAACTTATGTGAACTGAGTGCTTCTGAGAAACTATTATTGATTAATGTTCTGATATGCTGAATGTCCCAAAGCACGATAATGAAACCTTAAGGTGCTGACCTCTAGGCTTCCTGACATTCTGCATGTCCATTGACCCAACCTCTTGGGATGCCCATCCTTTTTTCAGTTCCAAATAAATCTTCCCTGAATACCACAGTCAGATTAGTCTCCTCATCACTGCTACTCCTATGACCTCGTCCAAGCTGACACTGTACATGCTGGGAGAACAGGCTCAGGGTGGAGGAGTGCAGTGTAAAGAGCACAGGTTATGGAATCCACTGCCCTGGATCTAAGTCTTATTTTAGTAGCCACATATTCCTGATTATGTAATTTTCCTATATAATATATATTCCTATATTATGTAATATTCCTATATTACATAACCTCTCAGCACCTAAAATTTTCCTTGTGTATAAAAAAGATAATGACACTCAATGCTACAGCATGTTGTGAAGACAACAAAATGTGTGCTAGTAACTGTGGTGACAAAGTGCCCAGAACAGTACATGCATGATAAATGCTAATTAATATTATTAAAATCAAGTTATTCTGTGATACAGTTCCTTTTCTTATCTGATCAAATTTTCTGTTTGATAATGAAACAGCAATAAAAGGAGATCTAGAGTGCACATCATCTCTTCCATGAAAAGATTCCTGATCATTTTAAGTAAAAAAGATTCCTCTTTCCTCTGAATACCTCAAAATAAATATCTCATTCCTGCCTCATGTATTAGAGTTCTTAGTAAAAGTCTGAAAACTCCCAGAGGGTGGAACCCTGTCTTAATTTAAATTGCCAATGTCTCCTAAGCAGCTGTGTGTCCTAGCTTAGCAAGTGACCAATGAATACGTGAATAAAGGATTCCAGTTCTCAGACAGTATCTTTGCTCTGTGCTTCAGCCTTTTCCTATTTTTTCAGGTTAGTAGACTTACTTGTCTTCTAAATTGAATACTATATGTCACATATATGGTTGCCATGTACATGTTGGCAGACTGGTGAACCGGTGCTTCACCTGGGCACAGTACATAAAAGAGCAGAAGATTAGAGATAGGAAAGATCAGGAGCTGAAGAAGAAAATGGTATTTTAGCAGTACATAGAATCTTTATGTTTCTAGTCCCAATGTCAACAGAGTGACAGCACACATATGGCTGATATTCAAGGATTCCAAAGCAAAGAAGGAAAACACAAGAAGAAGAATTGGGAGCATCTTACACCAGATGCTGAGGAGCTGGTCGGGATCCTTGACCACAGACCCCACCTCCCTCAGGCTCATGGGTAAGCTTCTGTCAAGAGGAGAGCAGCACTGCTGTCAGCACTCTGTCCTGACCACGCAACACAAACGCCAGCGCAACACTGAGTCTCACAGCATTTTAAAATGAATGTCATTTCATCGCGGAGCAATTATTTATATTCTTCATTATAAAACCATATTCAAGTCACAATAATGCTGTGCCTTACAATTGCTTCTCATTCTAAAGTAGACATTAATATTTTAAACAATCCATAGATGTAATGGTGTGATTTAATTTTCACGATTTCGTATAACTTTCAGAAACATGAATCCTTAGATCTGCCATTATAAGACAGGTCACTTTCTAAAAGTTAAATTTTACATATCAAAAGGAATCGGATCATCCGTGGGGACTTCCTTTTCTTCTAAGGGAAGTGAATCATGATTTTCCACTTTAGACAATGTAGAATACAATTCCAACTAAATAAAAAAAGAACTCTCTTGCATAGAATCGTGAGCTTGGTACCTTCATATCTTACATTTAACTGGAGTAAAAGTAAAATTCCAATAAACCAATCTTCTCTGTTTTGTATCCACTCATTATCCTGAGGTTGAAAATGCTTTCTTGACACTCTTTCTCTCAGAGACCAACTTTCTCCATTGCCCTATAATCAGTTAGGTAAGAAATTTACTGTGGATTTTTTGTTCTATTTCAGAAATCAGTAAAGCCGATGCTGAAAAAATTATCAACAGCCGTAAGTTTGAATACTTTCTAAATTAAATATGAGATTGTTACTCTTGACACAGTTATAAGTACATTTTGTGAGATAATTCATTCAAATTCCAAAGCAATGTGAGAGATAGACATGATTGTAATCTCATTTTAAAAATGAGAAAACAGAAGTGCCGGGGATTTGGTTCAGTGGTTCCACTGCCTGCGCTGGCACAAGGGCCCTAGTTCGACCCCTGGTACCACAAAGAGAGAGAGAGAGAGAGAGAGAGAGAGAGAGAGAGAGAGAGAGAGAGAGAAGCACACAGAAAGTGAAACAATTGCCTAGATTGAGACAGTTTGTAAATAAGTGTCAGGGCCAAAGTTCAGACTGAGGGAGCCTGGCTGCCCAGCCCTGGGGGTGGCGCCCTCCTCAGCGGCAGTTTCCTCCAAGTTCTGCTGCATCTCTGGTGTCTGCTGGACACAGAACCCAGGGCTGCTAAGGATTCTGGTGCAGATCGTGTTCCTTCGTATCAGTCAGTGTACTGTCAGACTTAGGCACCTAAGGTGACGCTGCTAGACGTCTGAAATCATTCTGAAATCAAGTAAATATATCTTGAGCCAGGAATGGTGGTGCACACTTGCAATCTCAGCACACTGGGAGGCTGAGGCAAGGGGATCCCAAATTTGAGGCCCGCTCTAGCATTTTTGTGCCTTTGTGCAACCCTTTCTCAAAATAAAACTTTTGTTTTTTTGAAATTACTTTTATTGGTACATTTAAGGTATATAATGACTTTCATCGTTGGAAATTACACCTTTAATTCATCTTGGTTCTTATTTTTTCTCCATTCCCCTGCCCTCTTTTCAATCCCTACACCCCTCCCTATCTATAAAGACTTTGTTTCCATTTTTTTTCTTATATTCATTCCATTTTTCCTCTTCTAAAAGGATTTGGAATGTAGTTCAGTGAAAAAGCCTTGAATTCCATCCCCTTTGTTAACATCAGTCAATCAAGCCATCGAATACAAATTATAACTATAAAACGAATTAATAAATGAATAAAAATTATCTGTATTCTCGATAAAACAAAACTGACAGGCTGCGGGAGACGCGCCAGGATGTCTGCCACGTACGACAGGATCAAGGGAGGCTCCACGGCGCAGGAGGGAGAGTGGCCGTGGCAGGCCAGCCTGAAGATGGACGGCAGGCACTACTGCGGGGCCACGCTGATCAGCGAGGTCTTCCTGGTGACTGCGGCTCACTGCTTTACAAAGTGAGTTCATTGCTGCATCCCGGGAGTACAGAGCTAAGGGCAAGTCCAGTTTTTTCCTGTTTTTCTGCTCAATTCCTAGGCAGCACTTTGGTCTCAGAAGGGCCCTCGTTTGACAGACAAGTTACACGGCCAATCCTTGCCTTCCCCACCTTACCAGGGACCATGGCAAGTCTCTCAATTTTGAGAACTCTATTTCTTCTTAGCCGAGTCACATTTCTCATCACTTTGTATGCCAGTTGCTAAAATACAATTTATACAACTCTCCTCTCTCTTCATATGTCTGCTCTACTCTTTTTTAGGCAAATAAGACTTAGTCTTGTCTCATACCCTATTTTCCCAAAAAAATATTTCTATCCCTTAAACATATTGATTGAATTCCTATGCATTCCTGCTAATTACATACTCAAGCATCTAAACAATTGTGACTGGCAATGTTTAAACTCATCCTTAATTAGATTTAGCTTCTTGAAGGCATGTGCTATTTATTTTCAATTTACATCCCTTTTGCCTTAGGGTGTGGTATAGGAACTCAAACAAGGTGTCTGAACTGTATTTTAAAAAATCATATTTTGCATTGCAATGGAATACAGAGAGATGAAATAATAATATCATGAAAAGCATAGAGTAGATGCAGAATTTCTTCTATTTGCTATAGAATGCAGTATTTTGCCATTTCAAAATGAAAAAAAAAAACCACAGGATTTTTGTTTGTTTAGGACAGATAATCCAAAAAAATTTACTGTTAGCTTTGGCACTGAAGTAACTCCTCCCTACTTGCAACATTACGTCCAACAAATCATTATTCATGAAGGCTACGTTAAAGGTGAACATCATGATGATATTGCAATTATACGGCTCACTGAAAAAGTCTTATTTAAAAATGATGTGCATCGAGTTTGTCTTCCTGAAGCCACACAGACATTTATGCCTGGTGAAGGAGCTGTTGTCACAGGATGGGGAGCACTTTCCTATGATGGTAAGTCCACTGAGAACCTAACGTGCTTCATAAGATTCAGAAGCAACAAGAGGGGCCAGGGATGATTTAGCTCAGAGGTTTTGCCACCTGCCTTACAAGTGCAAGGTTCCGAGTTCAGTCCCCTTTACAAAAAAAAAAAAAAGCAACAAGAAAAGTCAATAATGGAGTCTGAGGCATTATATGCCTCTGGCTATCGAGCAGTCTCAGATGATTTCTTAGGGAATGCTGTATATGGAAAGATGACTGCAAACTAGGAGACCAGTATGGGTATGGAGCCTCACTTACTGGGAGAAAATAATTGAGAAGTTTCTGGCTCAAAGGTTTTGTTACCATCCAGTTGGTGAATTCTTCTCTCAGCCCAGAAAGAATGACAAGGCAGAGAGTTAAGAGAGACCTAACTCTTTGAACCCAATGTTGGACACCAAAAGATGTTACCACTTGGCTTATGAGTTTTTTCCACCCAGAAAGAATTATTATACACAGTAGAGCCAAAAGAGGACCAAACAAAAGAATTTCTTGTAGAGTGAAAGCAGAAAGCAGCATATATTTATAAAGCAAATGTAAAGAGCCCATAAACTAAGGAACCTGGTGAAGGACAAATGGATTGCCAAAAGGACTCCTGTCTAGGAGGTTTTTTTAACCAAAATGGAGCATATCGCAGCCAAGTTGAGATCATCTTATGGGGTTATAAGCAGGAGAGCTGGGACTTAGAAGTGGACCTGTAGGGACTTGGGGTAGGCAGCAAGTTGTACGTGTGCAAGCTCCACTGATTGTAACCTTTAACAGAGGGAGAGTGTTCTTTAGAGAGGTATAGGTATGTTCTTTCTGGGCATGAGAGTACAACCATCTAATGAGGTCTTTGATTATTGAGTCTCCAATTTTCTGGCCTTGGCCATTGTGTCCTTCACTGTATCTTCCTGACTCCCTCCTCAGGTTGGCCCTTTCCTTGGCTGCCCACTCTGTCTGCAGAACTCTTTTTATCAGAATGCTTCCTACTCTTCCCTCTTGGGCCAGGGTTACTCCGAGAAATCCTCTCATCCTCCCATGGGGTCCTGCTCATCCTCAACATCAACTTTTACAGGAAACTGGTTGTGTGAATTACTGTCGGGAGCCTCTTGTCAGGTTGGGAAAATGATACCTAAATCTTATGTGGTGGACCCTGAGCACACTTACACCAGCAGAGGGAGAGTGGTTCATTCCACTCAAGTCTCTTTTACCTCCCTGCTTCAGATTTATGAAGGACTTTGAAAGGCAACATTTCAAAGATGTTTTGTATTTCATAGTCCAAATTATTTTTTCATAGGCTTGAGTGAGAGAATTGAGTGGGATTTTTTTCCTTCAAAGTTAGATGGTTAAAGAGCTGCATCTAAATAGAGATCTTCTGCAAGAAGGATATGGCCTTGTCTCACAGTGGCTTTTTTGCTGATGACATTTATTCCTCCAGGTAAATTCCCAGTGTTACTTCAGAAGGCACCTGTGAAAATTATCGACACAAACACATGTAATGCTGAAGAAGCATATGATGGCATGATACAGGACACGATGTTATGTGCTGGCTACATGGAAGGAAATATCGATGCCTGCCAGGTAATTCTGGTTGCTATTCGTATGACCACGTGGTACATAAATAGCCACTATTTTGTAAAAGCCATCCATGGAGACAGTTCTATGCTTCAATCCATGTGTTCCTTGCCAGCTCTGTCAGTGTCCCTTAGCTTTGACACTAAAACAATTCTTCCCAACATATAACATATGTTTATAATTAACAAACACTCACGTTGGGCTGGCTCTAAGGCAAGCACTGTCCTAATTTCTTTACAAGTAGTAATTTATTCAACCCTTACCTCCATAATTTCAACATGTCAGCACTGTCATGGTTCTTTCTCAGATGAGGAAACTGAAGCAGTAGAAAGCAAAGTACTCACACACTCGTATGCGTTAGGACCACATACATTTCTCAGGGACCCAACGTCAGAATCGACCCTCTTACCATGTTCCAGGAAAGATAAGCCCCAGAAATGTCTGAGCCATTTTCTGCCCATTGCAAGTTCTTCCTACCTTCTTATCCTCTTCATGTAAGATGGCTCTAGTTACTTTTCTCAGAGATGAGACCCTGAGTTTCAAGTATACCTGCATTATGTGTTTCCCAAGTTTTTCTTGTAGAACTAGAGTTTATAACTTCTCAGACAACACCTTCTCAGATCACACGTTGTACATGAGAGGCCCAGGGAATGTATTCTGGTCAGTCACAGTTGAAATGAGGAATACACAGCAATTTACATTGTTTACATTTCATAGCCTCTTTGAAGCACCAACTGCAAACTAAAATATTCCAAAGGAAATGGTCATAATGACAATGTTCTTTGTTTTATTTAGGGTGACTCTGGAGGACCACTAGTTTACCCTAATTCTCGAAATATTTGGTACCTCGTTGGCATTGTGAGCTGGGGAGATGAATGTGGCAAAATCAATAAGCCAGGCATCTACACGAGAGTGACAACCTACCGCAGCTGGATCGCCTCCAAGACTGGAGTCTGAGGGAAAAGCATCTTGTAAAATTAACACTGGTCATGACTCCTAGGCCTGACTTAGCATGCTTTTCAAATTAGGGTACACTGGAATTATGACCTGAGGGAAGTTTTGTGAACTTTTTTTATTTTTATTTTTGGCTGGTACTGGGGATCGAACTTGGGACCTTGTGCCAAACTTGCAGGGGACCCACTATAATAACACAAGTATTGGGACAGAATTTAATGGAAATTCCTTATTTGTAATATATTTTTTAATAATGACTATTAACAGTAAAAATGTGTAACATATTTTAATTAAAACAAATCAATAGTCATCTTTGATGATAATTTTCTTCTAAATTTTTGTTTATTTTCTTAGGAATATATAGTTTGTCTTCTGCATCATTGGAGAGGTAGAGGAATGAGTGAGTTTGAGTGAGTGAGTGTGTGTGTGTCTGTGTGTGTGTGTGTGCACACGCACACCCTTCCAGTCAGCTTCAAGGTGACACTGCTGCAGCCCAGGTTGGACCCATCCCACCTGTGGAGTTGAGTCTGGAGTTTTCTGTCTTCTGGGTGGGTGTGAGTTCCCTGTAGAGGAAGTGGCTCTCTAGGATGCCACAGAGGCCAGTGTCAGCAGGGTTGCAGCCTAGCATATGCTGGTCCCGCAGGGCTTGAATTAGGCTGGTCCCCAGGGCAAGGCGGTGTCTTAGCATTCAGGCTGCAGCCCTGCTCATCCTCAGGTGGGAGTCACAGGCTTCTGTGCTGGGTTTGCATTTTCTATAGATGCCAGACACCCTGGCACTTCTCTACCATTTCACAGATATGGTCCACACCTCCCTGTGGTAATAAAGGATCAGAGAGACACAGGACAGGAGGAGGGCAAGTGTGGGTCATCCCCATGTCTGACTGTGTCTGTGTCTGCAGGTGATGTTTTGTAGGGCAGACCTTATATAGTCTTTAAATTTTGTTTAAGCTTCAACAACCTGGAATGGATACATTGAGAGACAGTCTTTTACCACATTTTCTTTTTGCCCCAGGAAACATGAATATTTTTTACATTGTCTACCAATAACAACTTTCCATTTATCAAAAACCCAACTATATATATATTATAGATAACCAAATAATGGAGTGGTCTTGAAATGTCATAAATTCAGTTTCAAATGGCATTTTTAATTCTTTTATATCACATATAATCTCAGTTTCTTAAATTGCTCAAAGACCAAGGCTCTTAAAGAAGACTTGACATGTTTCACTTTCATTATTAATTACCTTACAGCTAATCTACTTGGTCATAATTAACATCATCTTGCATTCATTGTTTTCATGATGATAAATAAATATGTGTAACATTCATTGAGTTTAACACTGGTTGTGTCAGGCACAGTTCTAACCACTGTGTCTGGATTAATGTGCTGCCCACTGTATGGAGTTATCACCACCCTAACTTTACAGAGAAGAAACTGAAGAGTTAAAGATCTCACCCAAAGATGTGAACAACCATCACCATAGCTAATTTTGTTCATCACAAACGTTCATGATAAGAAAGCAACTTTGACCAGATGTTAACAGTTCACATTATTATGCTTTTTTCTTTGTTGGTGTTGTTTTATTTATTTGCTTACTTGCTTTCTTGCTACCAAGAATGAGAATTCCTTGTAGCTTTGGGTAATACTTCTACTAGCAAGAAGTCCACCCAGGGAAATGACACTAACATTACTTTCACAAAAGCCATTTACATGTATATAGTACTTTGTTTCTCTCACTTGAACCTAATCATAAATGTGTTCTTAATTGTGGCCCAGTGAATGTGGTTGCCATTGCTCCTTCCTTCACTCACAGTGTTCTTGACAATTTCTGACCAGCACCAAACATCATCCATTCTACCATGGCCTTTACTCTTGAAAAAATTAAGTTAATCATCCTTCAGGTAGTAGGTCTATGATCATAATGCACATTCCTTATCTAAACCTCTTACGAAAAAAAGCTAAAATACAATTGATGCAAATACCTAAATAGTTTGTACAAAAGCAGAAATAATTATAGCCTGTAAACCTATTTGGCTTATGAAATTTGTGATGGCTTCTCCAAGAAATAAATCTCTTTTCCATTTTTCTTGGTCACCCTCTGTTTTCTTTTTTGCTACCATATTTAAACACATTCAGAGAATATACAAGAATTCTCTTTATCATATCAAGAAATTCCATTCCTAGAACCCACTCAACATGACTAGGCCCAAAGGACTTTCTATGCTGGGAAAATTGATCCTTTATGTAGTCATTTTGTACAATCTCATTGTTGTTGTTAGTTTCAAAAGGCTCTTTAAAATAAAACAATCTGCAGAGTCATTTCTGAAAACATCATTAAATATTATTACAGATGTGACGCCAGGACCACTAAGCTTCTGCTGAACCCTGCCATCTTGTTTGTAAGCTTTGGATGCAGCTTTCGTAATGGTTGAACTGGTCCATGTGACTCCATGCTGGAACCTGTCTGTCTCCCCACCTTCTCCCATTTGCTCTGAGAGCTAGTTTATTAATGTGGTGTAGTGAACTCTATTTTTGTTTAAAGATCTATTTATTAGAAATACATGATTGTGTACTTCCTTTTGATCATTTAAAACTAAAAGAGCTTTATGAAACAATTTGTAAATCTATTCAGATTAAGGAGAGTATACTATATTCTGTGTTTAACTGAGATACCATATGGTATTTAAGTTTGTGTGTGATTTCTTTTATTCAAAATTATATTTTCCAGGTGCATCCATTTTCCTACAAATGTCTCAAAGTCATTATTCTTTATAGTCATTCTTTACAGTAGATTAGTATTCTATTATATACAGATAGCACATTTTCTTTAATCATCTGTTGATGGATATGCAGGCTGTTTGCAGGATTTAGTTGCTCTAAATTCTGCTGCTAAAACATGATTATGCATGTATCACTGTACTGTGATGTCTTAAGCTCTTTGGGGAAGATAACCAGCAGAGAGACAGCTGGATTGTATGCATTTATAATTTTAGTTCTTTGAGAAACCATGCTGATTTACTAAATGGTTGTACTAGTTTACATTCCTATAATGAAGGAGAGGTCTTTTTTCACTACAGCCAGGGCAGTATTTGATATTGTTGGATTATTTAGTGATTGCCATTTTTTTGTAAGATAGAATATTAGCATTGTTTTAACTTGAATTTCTCTATTGGCCAGAGATGTTGAGCATTTTTTCAATATTTGTTGACCATTTGTATTTCTTCCTCTGTGAAGTGTCTGTTCATTTCTCTTGCCAATTTCTTGACTGGGTCTTTAATTTTAGGTGATTTAATTTTTCTAGTTCTTTAAATATTCTAAATATTAGTCCTCTTTCTGAGTAGCTGGCAAAAATTCCATCCCATTCTGTTTGTTGTCTCTTCACTCTACTGATTGATTCTTTTGCTGTGCAGAAGCTGCTTAGTTTGATATAATCACATTTGCTGATTTTGTTTTTTTTCCTTGCGCAATTGAGATTCTGTTTAGAAAAATCCTTCCCTACACCTATGTTTTCAAGTGTTTTACCTATGTTATCTTCCAGTACTTTCAATATTTCTGTTTTAATGTTTAGATCTTTGATAAATTTTGATTTGAACTTAGTATATGGTGAGAAATAAGAATTCAGTTTCCGTCTTCTGCACCCAGATAACCAGTTTTCCAAGCACCATTTGTTAAATAGGTTGTCTTTTCTCCAATATATGCTTTGGGCCCCTTTGTTGAAGAACAAATAGATAAGTGTGTCTAGGCATGTTTCTATATTCTGTACTCTATTCCATTGATCCACATATCTGTTTTGGTTCCAGTACCATGTTTTTTTTGTTTTGTTTTTTTGTTTTTTTAGCATTCTTGCTTTGTAGTATAGCTTGAAATGAGATATTGCTATGCCACCTGCTTTGCTCTTGTTGCCCAAAATTGCTTTTGCTATTCTCAGTCTCTTCAGACTCTATATGAATTTTAAGATTTTCTTTCTAGATCTGTAAAGGATGCTATTGGTAGTTGCATTGGGACTGCATTAAATCCATATAAAAGTTTTGGAGATATGGCCATCTTGACAATATTCATTCTCCCTATCCAGAAGCAGGGGATGCCTTTCCATTTTCTGATGTTCTCTTCAATCTCCTTTTTTCAGACTACTGTAGTTTACTTTGTAGAGGTCATTCACTTTCTTCATTAATTCCTAGGTATTTCATTTTTCTTGGAGCCACTGTGAACGGCATTATTCACATAATTTCCTTCTCATCTTGTTCATTGTTGGTACACACACATGTTAATGATTTTTTTGTGCTGATGTCATATACTGGTCCATGGCTGCAGTTGGTTATTGATTCTCAGAGGAACTTTTTGATGGAGTTCTTTGGATACTCTATGTAGATTATATCATTTGCAAATAATTTGAGTTTTCCTTTCCTCTATGTGTCCTTTTTATTTCTTTCTCCTACCTAATTAATCTAATAATGTTTCATTCCTATATTGAATAGGGAAGGTGATGCTGGACATCTTTGTCTTATTCCTGATTTTAGGGGGAATGCTTTAAGTTTTCCCCCACTTAGTATGATCTATTTTCTTCATCCCTCCTCAGAATTTTTTATAGATTTCTATTACCTAGTATCTGTTCTCTTCCCACTTTGTGACCCCTTGCTCTACCTTGGGAGAGTTGGAAGTGCTTTGGTGATCTTCTGTTTCCTTGTTTCCCCATTCTCCTATGTGTATTTGTGTGTGTGTGTGTGTGTGTGTGTGTGTGTATCCTTTTTTCATATATACATACACATATATATCCCCTTTCTCTCCTTTTACAGGGGGTTGCTGCAGGGCAGTTTGGGGACTAGAGAAATAAGAAGAATTTGTGGCTTATGTGACAATTTTGGTAGGATGTTGCCTCCCTATGAATAATTTTCAGCTTTCTATGACCAGGGGTAATATTTACTCCTTCTGTTATTTACTTTAAGCAGTTTGGACTCCATCCCTATGTTTTACCAAAATAATTGCTTCAGATTATAGCAGCATCCACAGGTTCAATCTTACAGCACTTCTATACAATAGTCCTGACAGATACTCTTTCTCTCTTTGTCTGTTCTCTACGCACACTATGACAGCTTATGATTGGTGGTTGTTCTGCAATGGGAGGGGGGAGTGGGAGGCAGTTGGATGAGGTGTGCTAGGCATTATGGGGGAGG